AACCCGAAAACAACCTGGCAGTCCTGTGTTTTTTTTTGTTTTTTTTTTTTAAGTCCTGTGTTTTTAATAAACAGTCGCTACCCCGAATGGTAAATGTGCTTTACTTTATCTTTCCATGTTGGGAGTTTTTGGGTTGTGCTCTGAAGATCCGGGACAGACAGCCGTTTGTGGGTTCTTTTCAGAGGATACGTGATGAAGACGATTTCAGGCTGGGCCGGGACTTGACTATTCGGGCAGGGCAGGACTTCACATCCTGGTCTAGCCGCAGTCAAAAAGCAGCAGCTATTGCAGGCTGGCTTCACAGAATTGATCGGAACGCGGTCAGTCGCGAAAAAATCCCAGGGCAGGTGATTCTTCTGAAAATGTTTTATCAGGAGAAAGGCTACCCGGTGAACCTTTTTGTGAAGGTCCTGGATAATTTCGCGGCCGAAAAGGACTCAGTGTGGAAGCTGACCGCGAGCCTCGTACGACAATTTTACCGTGTGAATGGTTAGGCTTGTTTTCAGCTTGTTTGTTTTGTAGTTTGTTGCTCAAGAATAGGTAGTATATAATACTTGAATGCTATTCTCCTCATCCTCTCTTACAGCAGACCTTTCAGGTAGTTGTCCGCAGCCGACTTCGGTCCGCTGCCGACAACAACCGCCATCAGTTTTGTCGGAATGTTCGGTGGTTTTCTTGGGGTTGACGGTACGAAGGAAGGGCAGTGGGATGGGACCATATGATGCGACTACTTCCTAATTGACATCCCGCATCGCGGGTCTTCTGTTGTACTCTTCTGAGAGTTGTGTGCATTCGCTGATGCGTGGTGTGCACTGTGTGTTTTTGCCCCTTTGTGCGACTGTCTCGTTATGTGCCACTTTTGTCTGTTTTTGCAGAGAAAAGCACTCCTCCTCCCAAAGTGACGGAGTACTACTAACGGAGTCTCGGTTGATGTGCTTTACTTTCGTCTTTCCATGTTCTAGCGCAAGATTCCAACGGCCATATGTGAGGTGAGAGATAAATATATGGCCATTCTCATTTTGCACCCCGCTCACCAGTCACCACAAGAGAAAAAAAAAATGCAGCAGGGTATCTTTCATGGCTACCATGTGGACATCCGGACAGGCATCCACACGGTCTGCTGTACGGTGTCTGGACGCCGGACCGTAGAAGGCCCATCCGGAAGCGCCCAAAACCCCGGAAAAAAAAAAGGGGGCACCCTAGACCTGTTCCTTGGGTCCAGGGCGCCCCCTGAAAAATGTTTTGATGATTTTTGGGACCGCTACGGCCGTACAGGGCGGCCAGACCGTCCCCTTTTCTACTTGCATCCTGGGCAGACGGTTGGAGGCAGAGTGCAGTTCCCCAGTGACAAAGGGAAGAAAGGGCGGATCTAGGCGCTTCAGAGGGCTTTCCCGTCCACCAGCCACCGGCACACACACGCACACACACACACAAAGGGAGAGGGAGAGAGAGCCCTCGTTACCGTTGTGGACCGGTGCGCACATGTGCGCAAATGCAAAAGAGAGAGAGAGAGAGAGAGAGAGAGAGAGAGAGAGAGAGAGAGAGAGAGAGAGAGAGAGAGAGAGAGAG